ACTTGACCAAGCTGTGAAACTGAGGCTCAGAGAGATTAAGTGACTTGCCTAGCTAGTAACTGATTGAGTGGAGATCCCATCATAGGATGGGCATGGACTCCATATCTTGTGTTCTTTAATATTCTCTGCTGCCGCCTTAAAGATCATGAATGGTTTCTAAGACAGTGGGCCTCTGTTATGTGGCAGCAGCCATTAACTAGAGCTCTCTATTAAGAGGCACTTTGGTACATTTATGGTACAATGAAAATCAGTGTTCAAAATGAACACCCTGAGGCACTGTGAGATCTTCAATGATCCAAGAAAGAGTCAATACGGGCAGTGCCATTCTAGTATTAAATGTATTTTTTGGTATTAAAATTCTTTGAAATTTAATAATATGAGGAAGGGTATATGTAGTAACTCTTTCTTAGCCAGAACAGTTGATTGAATAAAAACATTTCCTAATAATGTTGGGTCAGCCAGTGTGAGTTAGAGGTTGAGGTTCCTGACTCCAAGGCTAGTGCTGTCCCAAGTACAGCACTCTTTTCCCTGTGCCATGATGCTTCTGAGGATCTTACCTGGTCCCCAAACCAAAGGAATGCAAAAACCCCAGTTTTTAAAAGTTGGTCTTTAAATGAACTGCAAGTAAAAGGTTTGTTCTGTCAAAACAACAAATTTTTTGATGACTTCAAATGATTTTGCAAACTTTACTTTGTAACAAAGACTGACAGCTTTAATTATTAAAACCTTAATATTTACATACTGAAATCCTAAATGTAGAATGTTTGCTTCTTGATGGCCGGTGAAATCCCACTTTTGCCTTAATATACAAGTTCTCAATACACATTTATTGATTAAATGGATAATAAACTATATTATTGCATTTCATTAGAGGAGAACCCTTAACACCAAACCTAAAATAGCCAATCAGTTCATCAATATCTATTGAGCACTCCATTCTGCATCCATTGAGCAATCCATCTATTGAGAACAGTGATGTCATGGATTCAGAAGGACATTCTTTCACCAGTGGTGATTACAGCTCATTTCTACCTTTTCATCCTACATAATTCTTGTCAATTTCTGAGCACAGTTTAAACACAACATTGGCCAACCAAAGTCAATCTAATAAAATAGGACTAGAAAGATGAACAGAAAGGTTCTAGAAGACATCTACAAGAAATGATTGTATGTAATAAATTGCATATTGTCTCTCTCATTAGAGTGAGAACTAGACCTGTTTTTGCCTTTCTTTGTGTTCCTAAGCTTAGCAGGTGACTGACACATAGTAAATGCTTAATAAATGCTCATTGACTCATTCACTGATAGAAGAGGGATTTTTGCTTGAAGAAAACACTAATCGGACATGTTGTAGTCATCTTCAAATATTTGAAATTCATTGATCCAAAGGACTGAATTAGTACTTTAGAACTAGTTGGATTTGCAGGGAATCAGATTTCAGCTCAATAAACAGAACTACTTTCTAGTAATTAGAGTTGCTCATCAATGGAATACGTTGCTAAAATAGGTGTTAAGTTCCCCATCACTGGAAAGGTTCAAGAAGAGGTTGGATAACTGTCAGGAATGCTATCAGAAGAATTATAAGATAGATAGATAGATAGATAGATAGATAGATAGATAGATAGATAGATAGATAGATAGATAGATAGATATAATCTATCTAATATAGATTTAGAGCTGGATGGGACTTCAGAGGTCATCTAATCCAACTCCCTCCTTTTACAGATGAGGAAACCAAGACCTGAAGAGGTTAAATGACTTACCCAGGGTCACACAGCTAGTAAGTATTTGAGATAGGATTTGAACTCAAGTCTTCCTGATTTCTAGCATTCTATCCACTACTCTAAGCTGGTGTTGTGAGAATCAAATGAGAAACCATGTATAAAATACTATATGTCAGCTGGGAGGGGCAAATGAGATACTGTATGTAAAACACTATGCAAACCTTTTGGAGAAGAAAATAGCAGACCATGCCAGTATCTTTGCCAAGAATACCCCAAATGGGGTCATGAAGAGTTGTTCACAACTGAAACAACTGAAAAATAACAATGTGCAAACCTTAAAGTACTGTAAACATGTCACCTATTATGATGATTATTACCAGAGACTATTCACAGAGAAGAAAATTTGATATGCATAATTTTTTTTAAAGCACCTATGATCCCATCGGTGCTCTGGAAGTATATGAAATGACAGCTAGTTTATAATTATCATTATAGATTTCATTTCTCCAAAGAGTTCTGAGTAAATTCTTAGAGCCTGCAACATAGGACTTTTTAAAAAAAATTTTTTTTTTTAGGCAATTGGGGTTAAGTGACCTGCCCAGGGTCACACAGCTAGTAAGTGTCAAGTGTTTGGTCTGAAAACATAGGACTTTTTCTAGAGAGGATCTGGGCATTTTGTTTTCTATGTTCAGAAGTTCTAGAGAGTTCCCTTGTATTATTTCTTTCATTATGCTGTTCAGGTTTTTTAACTTATGTTTTTTCCCAGGAGACTTATACTCTTTAGGTTATCTCTACATATCCTGTCTCCAAAATCAAAATACTTTACTTGTCGGGAGATGGTTTTCTTTTTTTCTTCTCTTATTCCAGATTGTCCTTCACTTCTGTATATTTGCATTACCAGTCCATGGTTTTTTCCTTTTGTCTCGTTGATGAGGTTTGCTACTTTGAATCCAAATTTTTCTATTCTATCCATTATTTTTGCTATACAGGTCATAAATTCTGCTTTCACAGTTCTCTATTAAACCATGCAGGAATATCCTACTCTGAGAATCTAAGGTTCTTTGCCTCATCCAGTATTCTTTTTCATTTTTCTTTTTCTTATATTATTTATTCATAGATGACTGGATTCATTTAGATGACCTGGAGGCCATCTTCCCTTCTATTAGTAATATCTTCTCTCTTGGTTTATCTGCTCATGCTCAAGGTCTTTGAGTTTCTTCCTCCTGAGGTCTTCCATAATTTCAGTCTTTTTCCCCCTTTCTATTTCCCTATTGCTCACTTTCTGACTCCTTTCCCTTTGATGATATTTTCCCTAGGGATTGGCCTCAAAACTGTCACAGCCTCCTCCCGTATTAGGGAATCACATTTCACAGGCCTCAGTCCTGCACTAAGTGACTTTGGTGGAGATAGAACTGGCTCCGTATGAATGTCCATCCCCTTTGCTTCAGCATATGTATGTATTGTGGTGGATGCACACACATACTGACATCCTGCCACAGTTCCCTCTGTTCCTCAGTTCTCTTGTTGAATACTGTTAAAGCAAAAAGGATTGCTATGATGTCATAAGGAAGACCTCTAGGGCACTAGTGGCTAATTGATATTCAAACTCCCTACCAGAAGGAAAAGGGACCTCAGGACAGTACTGCTGGTCTTACTCTGACAGAGTGACTCAGAGGATTTGAGCTTCCCCTAAGCTTCTTCATTGAAAAGGGTGAAGAGGCTAATAAGGTCATTACCTACCCCTAGAACCATGAGGAGAGATGTAGCAAGTGGTGCTCTGGGCACCCCAGCCTGCTAATCAGAGTGTGGGCAGGGAGAGTGAGCCCAAAAATTTTGCTGCATTAATTAATATGATGTTTTAAGGCTTGCAAAGCACTTTACATGTATTATCTCATTTTTGTCTCACAATAATCCCATGAGGTAGGTATTATATGTGTTATTATCCCAGTTTGACAGATAAAGAGACTGAGGTTCAGGGAGGTTAAATGAGATTGCTCATGATTACAAAGCTACAAAGTGTCATTGAAGGAATTTGAACTCAGGTCTTCCTCATTCCAAGTTAATAGTAAGACGATTTTTCACAAGTGACCACAGGATTGTAGCCAATCTTAATAGCCATCTAAAACCACCAGTCAGAATTCTTCCCCCTTTTAAATACTCCCGCTAAAAGTAACATCGAATGCTAGAATCATGGCACAATGATGAGGAATGCAGTTCTCCTACCCCCGGTGGCTAGATTTCCCTAATTACAAAGGTAACTTGAAATAGCTGTCTAACCAGGCTTCCCTGGCCTGTTCCACTAAGCCAGGTCAAGCCTAACTTAAGGGCTGGACAGATACTGGCTTAGGAGGGAAGTGGGCCTGGTATATACTGTCAGACCTCCAAGAGTGGAGGAGGGGAGAAGGTTGTTTGTTTATTCTGGATCTGCTTGTTACCGGCTTTACAGCTGGGACCCTACAGCCTGCAGGACAATGGAAGCAGACAAAGAGAAAAAGAAAGAGAGGGATGTGGGGAGAGATAAAGATAGAGTGAGACAGAGGGAGACAGAGACTGAGAGAGACAGGACAGAGAGATAGAGAAAGAGATAGAGAAACAAAGAGGTAGAAGAAAGGGAGACAAAGGGAAACAGAGAAACAGAGAGAAAGAGGTGGGAGGAAAAGAGAGAAAGGAAGGAAGAGGAGGAGAACAGAGATGAGAAGAGAAAAGGGTGGGGGGAGAGAGAGAATTCTTGACTCACTCAGGATTCTAACCTGGAATCAGCCTTTGGGAAACTCTCCTCTTTAGAGAAACCCACCTTAGTTTCCTGTCTCCTTGGACACTTGTCCACAGCTCTTATTCTGGTCTTTAGTGACTTTGATGCTATAATGGAATCTCTTAAAAACCTGCCAGTTCTGTCCTTACCCACCTGTACACTTAATGTTACACAGAGAATGACTCATTTTTTTTTTTGGCTAGGCAATGGGGTTAAGTGACTTGCCCAGAGTCACACAGCTAGTAATGACTCATTTTTTAAAGTGATTTTCTAACTTTATAACTATGGATAATATCTCTCAGCCTCAGTTTCTTCTTCTGTCAGATTGGCATAGTACCTGTAGTGCTAACCTCACATGATTATGAAACTATGCTAGAAAGCACCTCATGTGATAAAGACCTAAGAATTTTGTGGCCTGTAGTTTCAGTATGAATTGTGCGGCATAACTTCCCCAAAAGCTGGTGCTATCTTAGGCTACATTCAGAGAGTCATCCTGTGCAGACTGAGAGACAGACATGATCATCCCACAGCTAGAGGAGCATGATAAGGACCTGAGTTCAAATTCTGCATCTGACACATATTATCTTTGTAAGTTTGGGCAAGTCATTTAGCTTCCCTTGTCCTCGATTTCCTCATCTGTAAAATGAGGGGTTGGATTAGATTGCCTTTGAATCAGGTCCCTTCTGTCTCTGGTCCTATGTTCCTAATGGAATGTTGTCACTTCTAGGCATCACATTTTCTGAAGGATATTGACAAACTATAGAACATTCAGAAGAAGATGATCAGAATCAACGAATCTAAGAATTGGAAGAAGGGTTGGAAACCAGCATTTGGTGAGTATGCATGTCATGCGCTGTGCTAGCACAGGGGCACAGATACTGCATTTGATCCTCAAAACAACCCTCAGACATAGGTGCTATTACTGTTCCCATTTTATATTTGGGGAAACTGAAGCAGGCAGAGGTAAAGGATCACACAGCTAGTAAATGTCTGGGTCAGATTTGAACTCAGTTCTTTCCTGACTCCAGGTCCAGCACTCTATCCACTGTACCACTCCCTACCTCCTCTGAGGAAGGAACCTCAGAGACCATCTAGCCCAACCCATACCTGCATGAATATTCCCTCTGCAATATACTGCCTTCCTTCTGTTGACACCCTCAATTTATCCTGTATATATCTCATTTGGACGTAGTTGTTTGCATGTTGTCTCCTCCACTAGAATGTGACCTCACTGAGAGCAGGGGCTGGTTTTTTGTTTTTGTTTTTTGCCTTTCTTTTTATTCCCAGCAGTGATGGCAGTGCCTGACTCTGCATTTAATAGGTGTTTAGTAAATGTGTGCTGATAACTTGAAATACAGAACAGAAGGTCATTCAGTCTCCTTTGAAGACTGCCAAGGCCTACCTCCATTCCCATTACTTCCTGAAGCCCATTTCACTTCTGGATAGCTATAAATGTTAGGAAGTTCAACTATGTCCAACCTTTATTTGCTTCTTTCTAAATCCTACCCTTTACGTGCCTCCTAAGGCCAATCTAAACAAGTCTTCTGCTACCTCAAAGCCCTTCAGATCCTCAAAGACCACTATCATGATCCCTCTAAGTCTTCTCCAGGCTAAACATACCCAGTTCCTTCAATGCATTATCATATGACATCTCTTTATTCCATAAAAAGACCATAAAGGATAGTTCCACATTCCACAGCTAGGCCAAATGCATCACCTAGCTAGCTTTCTCTACTTATTTAAATTGACATTATCCCTTGGAAGATCAAATAACATGCAAATTCTATTACTGGTAGGAGTGAACTATACAAGATTCACATATAAATAATACGAAGATGGCGACTCTTGGATCCGGCTCACCTGTCAAAGGCAAGAGAAAGAACTGCTTTACAAAAATAACAGAAAGACTCAGGTAGTCCTTAGATACTACCTAGCAAAGCAGTCCTGGTGTAATTCCCACATATACAAAATATGTCCAGAGGGTAATAAAATGATGTGAAATATCAAACAACCTGGACTCACCTCCCTAGCTCATAGACCCCATTTTAATATAACTGGTTGTATGTTGTGCTTATTATAGCTGTTCATATTATCATCACTATTTAAAAGAGTGGATAGGGCGCTGGGCCTGGAGTCAGGAAGATCTGAGTTCAAATCTAGCCTCAGATACTAGCTGTGTGACCCTGGGCAAGTCACTTGACCCTGTTTGCCTCAGTTTCCTCACCTGTAAATGAGCTGGTGAAGGAAATGGCAAACCACTGCAGCATCTTTCACAAGAAAATCCCAAATGGGGTCACAAAGAGTCAGACACAACCAAAGAGCAGCAATAGCCATTCAAGAAGCCAGATTTACTGCCCATTTCCTCCAAGAAAGATCATAGGATCATAATATCATAGATCTAAAATACCAAGGGAACTTAAACTCTATTTAGCCCAACCCCCTCGTTTTATAGATGAGCATCTAAAGGCCCAAAGAAACCAAGGAACTTGCTTAAGGTCATATTGATATTAAGGACAGAGTAAGGATTTGAATCCGGGTCCTCTATCTCCAAATCCAGCATCCTTTCTACTGTCACAGCTTTTAATAGGGTCCTCCTTTAAATATCATCTCTTCTAACATCACTTTTCTGCTTACAGACCATTTACTATGTGGTGGAAATGGGGAGGGGTCCAGTGAAGATTGATCAGAAATAAAGACCCTAGGGGCAGCTAGGTGGCCCAGTGCACCGAGCACCAGCCCTGGAGTCAGGAGGACCTGAGTTCAAATCTGGCTTCAGACACATAACATTTACTAGCTGTGTGACCCTGGGCAAATCACTTAACCCCATTGCCAAGGGAAAAAAAAAAAAAAGATTGCATATTGAAGGAACTTACTATTAGGACACATGATCAAGGACCACTTGACCTAGACAAGAGAATCAAGGAATGGATGGATGAAAAAAAATTTATTAAGTTTTCACCGTGTGTAAAGCACTGTACTATGTACTGAGAATACAAATAGAAAACCCAGGCTCTGTTCTCAAGGAATTCAGATTCTAACATAACAGGTTTTCTTAACTTTTTTTGTGTAATTGGCCCTTTTGACAGTATGGTGAAACTTAGGGACCCCTTTTCAGAATAAGGTATTTAAATGCATAAAAAATAAAGAACATAAGGAAACCAGTATTTTTAAATATAATTGTCCAAAAAAAAAATGCTTAAATCAATTCATAGATCCTAGGTTATGAACCCCTGTAATAGAGTAAACAATACATAAAAGGAGGTTTCCACAAGCAGTTTAGATGGAAAGGATCTGTGGTCTTCAGGGCACAGCAGAAAAACAGATGGTAATACATCTTTAATGTTATTTCCACTAATAAAAACCATTCTCTATTTCTGATGTTGAACTATTTGACTGTGCCAAGGACTCTGGTGGCGAAAATTTTCTTTTCTGCATTTTCAGTAACTATGGCTGCAGGGGCAAAGGCCTATAATCGTAAAAGCAGTTACCAGAGATGAAGATCTCTACAAAGGTTGATGATGTCTAGCGTTAGGCTGGAAGTAGGGCTAGTGGTCTGGAAGATGTTGCTGTTTCTGGGGCTCTTGGGCTCGGGATCCTGGACTGTCTCCATCAGGGTCTGAGGGAAGGTGATGATTAAAGTGGTATTGGTGGTTTGATTTGACTGGCCTATGTTTCCTCCCATCTCTCTCTTAGGGCGCCTTGCTGCATCAGCTAGTTTAGCTACCTTAACCCATGGATAGCAGTTGGTCAGTAAGAGCAGATTTAGGGATGGTGGACCATGGACGGCTGCTTTCAAGTACTCTTCAAGGGTTGTCATGTAGAAAAGGGTCTAGACTTGTTCCCAGAGAGCCAAAGCAGGAACAATGGGCAGAAGGTATGGAGAAGGGGCAGCTAAGTGGCACAGTGGATAGAGCACCAGCCCTGAAGTCAGGAGGACCTGAGTTCAAATGCGGCCTCAGACTAAACACTTTACACTTACTATCTGTGTGACTCTGGGCAAGTCACTTAACCCCAATCACCTAAAAGAAAAAAAAAGGTTTGGAGAAGAAGAATCCAACTCAATCAATAGATGCATACTTGCTAAGTCATTAGAAATGTCCAAAAATGGAATAGACTTCCTCTGGAGATGGTGTGTGTCCTATCATTAAAGGTCTTCATGCAGAACCTGTAGGATGCTTTACTGGAGATGATGTATTTTGATTTGGAGTAGCTTCCATCTCATTGCTCTGTGGTTCCATTTGTTCTACATGGTGAGAAGGGGTAATTATTCATGGGTGGAAGGGAGACTGTAAATTTTTTTCAAACATGGAAATGACTTGACACAATATAAATAGCTAGCTAACATTTATATAGCACTTGCCATGTGCCAGGCAATGATTATGCTATTTGATATTCACAATAACCCTGGAAGGTAGGTATTATTATTAACTCCATTTTACAGATGAGGACACCAAGGCTGTGACTAGCCCAGGGTCACACAGCTAGTAAGTGTCTGAGGCTGGATTATTCAGATTTTCGCAACTCCAGATCTGGTGCTCTATTCTCTGCACCACCTCAATACTGACATGACTTTGCACATAGAATAAGGTCAAGCAGCTATTCCTACTGCAGCTGCTTTAGAAGCCAGCTACCTCAAGTTTTCCTGGGTTAAGAAGGGGCTGCTACAGATACGAGTTTCTTTCATACTTTCCCACAAGCAGGGGCAGATTGATTAATTTCATATTTTACTGTAAATGGAAATGTAGGATGAGAATCTCAGCTCATTTTAATAAAGATGACCTATTACTAGATGCCAAATCCCACATGATCTAGGCTCATAGATTTAGAGGTAGAAGGGACCTTAGAGATGATCTGGACCAAACCATCATTTTACAGATGAGGAAACTAATAATTGCTCGGTACCTTCAGCTAAAGCAAAATAGTTCATGCAGTTTTGAGCCTGCAGTAAGAAGGTTGATGGATGTGATTTTTTTTTCTTGCAGCTCACTGTGCTGACATTCATGAGTCTTGCTAGTTTGTGACAACATGCTGAAGAAGTCTGTACACTCTACTAGGCCCCCTTGGGTACTGGGATGTGCCTTTGGTGAAAGGAAGAAAAGCAGCAGGATATAATGGAGACAGTGCTGAGCTGAGAGTGAGAACACCTAGTTTGTAATCCTGCATCTGTCACTAAGTGAGGCACTCTAGACACATCACTCCATCTCTTGGGCTACTATGCCCTCATCAAAATATGGGGGTAGGCAAGGCAAGGTGGCACATTGAAAAGAATGATAAATTTAGAGTCAGGGATATGGATTTTAATCCCAGAAGCCATCTACTACCTGTGTGACCTTGGGTAAGTTATTTAACTTCTCTAAGACTTGTTTGTCTCCTCTATAAAATGAGAGGGTTGGACTTTGTGACTTCCAAGGTCTCTTCCTGCTCTAAATCCTATGATCCTTCTATAAAGATGATCCCTAAGGCTCCTTCCAATTAGAAACTTATATTCTAAACTGGTAAATTCTCTTACTCTAAGCTGGAAAAGTCCCACTATGAATCACTAAGCAGAATCTAATCCCAATTATTGGGGTTTTATAAGCCCTATTTTAGACTCTTGTATTCTCTCCCATAGCCCTCCCTGTTCTATATCAGGCTTCTAAAAGCGTGACAAAGGCCCTTCATTGAAAAGGATGGAGCAAAGAGGGTCTTGCCTCAAGGCGTGTCTCCCATCTCCCCCCTCTGATTCCATGTCAGTGAAATTACAGGATAACATAGAATCATAGAATTTCAGAATTGGGAGGAATTTCATCAGCCATTTAGACGGACGCTGGTGAAGAGCCAGCTGCTTACCAAC